TACAGCAGTGAACAAAGCAGAGAAATACCTATGTGGTAACGAGTGCATATTCTAATGAAAATAATAACACCTATCATTTATGCAGTTCTACATGCTGTCCATAATGGTTTATATTTATTATTTCGTCCTTACAACAACTCCATTAGATAGGTACAGTTTTTGTCTTCACTTTACAGGTAAGAAAACTGTAGTTAAGTAAGCAACTTGCAGAAGGTTATGTTGCTAGTGTTAGGACCCAGATTCAAATCTAAGATCATGACTTAGACACCATACTACTGGCTACCATGGTATACTGCTTCCACAGTGTCATAGTGGCATTGGTGGGGATGGTAGTGGTGGTGGTGGTGGTAAAACAGATTCATTTAATATGTATTGCTTTAGTACCTACTGTGTAGTAGGCACTGTTCTAGGAGTTTCATTAATAAAATCTCTGTCCTTTGATTTCAGACAGGAAGGGAGAGGGAGAGAGAGATAGAAACATCAATGATGAGAGGAAATCATTGATCGGTTGCCTCCTGCACTCCCTCTACTGGGAATTGAGCCCACAACCCAGGCATGTGCCCTGATGGGGAATTGAACCTTGACCTCCTGATTCATAGGTTTGACACTCAACCACTGAGCCACACAGGCTGGACTAAGATCTCTGTCTTTATAAAATTACACGGTAGCAGAAAATAAACAATAACATTAGAAAACAAGCAATTTAAATAGTAATTAGATGACAATTGCTATGGAAAAAAGAAACACTAGAACATAGTAAGGAGGATAGAGAGCATGATGGAAGAGCAAAATAGAGAGGTAGGGAAGGGCAAGTTGAAACATTAGCAAAGACTTGAAGATGAAGAAGTTAGCCAAAGGGATAACAGGAGGAAGACCCTTCCAGGCAGAGGGAGAAGCTACAAATAAGGCCCTAATGTGGGAGCTACTCTAAGCACAGCCAGGAGGCCATGGTGGCTGGAGAGGAGTGATCCAGGACTACAGAGCAAGGAAGGAGAGGTTGTGTACCAGTCTTGGTACAGGGCTTTGCTGGCCATGTAAAGACTCTGGTTTTTACTCCATAAAACGGAGAACCATTGCAGGATTGTGAGCAGAGGAGTGACCTAACCTGACTTATATTTTATTTGTTTGTTTGTTTTTGTTAATCCTCACCTGAGGATATTTTTTCCCATTGATTTTTAGAGTGAATGGAAGGGAGGAGGGGGGGGGGGGAGAGAGAGAGAGAGAGAGAGAGAGAGAGAGAGAGAGAGAGAGAGAAACACTGATGTGAGAGACACATCGATTGGTTGTCTCCCTCACAAACCCTGACCCGGCCAGGGATGGACCTGCAATCCAGATATGTGCCCTTGACTGGGAATTGAACCTGAGGTGCTCAGGGCAATGTTCTAACCACTGCACATACTGGCCAGGGCCTAACTTATGTTTTAAACAAATCTCACTGATTATTGTATTGAGAATAGACTATGGGGATCAAGAGAGAACTGTTGAGGATTATTGACCAGAGGGGATAAAATGATGGTGGTTTGGACTTGGGTGGCAGCAGTAAAGCCAATATGTTTTTTCCCTGGCTGGGTGTCTCAGTTGGTTGGAGCCTCATCCAGTGCACCCAAAGGTTGTGGATTCAATTCCCAGTCACAGCACAAACCTAGGTTTTGGTCCCATCCCCAGGCGCATACAGGAGGCAATCAAGTGACGTTCGTTTCTCTCTCACATCAGATGCTTCTCTCTTCTCTCTCTCTCTCTCTCTCTTTCTCTCTCTCTCTCTCTCAAATAAATAAACATATTCTCTGGTAAGGATAAAAAACAAAAAGGCCAACAGGCTTTGCTGATGGATGGATATTGAGGGTAAGAGAAAGAGTGAACTCTGGGAGGCATCTACTGAAAGGCGAAGACTGTGCAAGGAGTGGGTGTGGTGTGGGGGCATTTAGAGGGGGTTGTTTTGGACAACCAAGTGGATATGGGATATACAAATCTGGAGTTCAGAGAGAGATCTGGAAATCTGAGGCAATAAATTTGGAAGATGTAAGTAAACAGATTATTTTAAATATAATAATGAAGGTAATGTCAGGAAAAAATAAAGCTGTAGATGTCTTTTATTGTAGGTTTGCTAATTGTTAAGTATTTATGCAGGATCCTGTGGATTGGTTCATTTAATCCCAATAAAATGAGAAGGGAGGTAGGACAGACGCGAGATGTTCACTGTCAGGGACAGAATCACCAATAGTCTCTGATCTCTGAGACACTTTTACAAGGAATTCTGCCTGGGCTTGAAGACCAGCAAATAACACTTTTCACCCTCCACCCCTTCTTGGGGTCGAGCCCTTTCAAGGGTCCCTCCCACACCGGGACCCACTTCAGTGCCTCCTCCTCTTGGGACTGCAGCACTGCCCAAGCCGCGCGCTTGCGCACTGAGACTTGTGGGCGGGGGACCGGACTTGGGTGGCCGCGCTCCGCTCGTTGCTAGGAGACGCAGGGGCGTCCTAAACCAAGGCGGTCGGCCTCTCGCTGCCCAGCCCACTGATCCCGAGAGGGGGCCACAGGCACCGCCGCGCTCTCCTGCGAGGTCCAGGTGGGGCGCCCAGCCTCTCCAGGTCGGCGCAGGGAGGGTACCCGCGGAGGGCTGGGCCGGGGCGGGGAAGGCGGGGCTGAGGGGCCGCCGCCGGTCCCGCCTCTGCGCTCCCCGGGAA